TAGGTCTACCCTACTTTGTTAGGACTTTTTCGTTTGAACAAACAAATTACATTAGTGGTGAGGGGTTAATGTTAGTAGTTGGGGTTAAAGGCAAGACTAATGTGCCATACAATCGAACCCTTACCATTGGTTCATGAGGGTGGTTGGCTTATTTTGTTAGGACTTGGGGATTTGGACAAATGTAGACATTTTAATTCTAAAATTAAAATTAATATGAGATATAACCTGGATTGTATTTAAATTTTATTCATCATGTAGTTATGATTAAACATTTTAATATTTTTGTTGTTAAAATGTTTTAATTTTTATTCTTCTCTTAATTTTTTACTAATAATTACTTCATTTGTTTATTTTTAGTTAATTTAATTTGATTTTAAAAAATTTTAAACATGAATTTCAGATAAAAGTTTATATAAAAAAACTTAATTCATGTAGTCTGAAAATATATATTTAACCCCCTAATGATAAAAATGTATCCTTACTTGTGATTTGGAAAATGCACACTCAATCGTGAATATTTTTAACATTTTATCCTCAATATATAACAGACTTGGAGAGTTTAATACAAAATTTTTAAATCGCAATGTCAAGGATATATTTTTGGTTAAATGTCAATCTAGTCTCTAAATTTTTTCTTTTAAATAATTTTAATTTTCAAATTATTTTTTATACTTTTTTATTTCTTAACTATGAAAAATATATCATTTTTTTTGTCATTTTGTCAATGTTGTTTGTTAAATACATATAGCTGGCATTTTTGGGCCCTAAACTAATATATATTGCATATTTTTAGATTCAAACTTTTATTTTATACATATTTAGGTTATTAAAAGAAATTAAAAAAAATACTAGCTGGACAAATCTAATTGACAAAATTGATGGAAGGACAAAAAAAAACATTTTTTATGGTTAGGAGATGAAATACGTACAAAAAGTAAATTAAGAATTAAAATTATTCGAAATTAAAAATTTAAAGGCAATATTGGATTTGGCCTAAAAAAAAAAAAACTATATTTGGCACTTAATTAACATTTTTAAGGCATCTAAAGTCAACCAAATGCATACCTTTATAAATTAAGGGACTAAATTCACTCATACCAAACCGAACCTTTATATTCAAGTAATTCATTTTTAAGTTTTAAAATGATTGAATTAGTTGATAAGATTTTTAAACTTCAATAACACCTTAAAAAATCTACCTCCTCCAATCACACGGGGATAAAAAGAAAGGAAAAAGAAAAAGAAAGCACACCGCCACTCATAACTGCAAAATTAATGTGCAGAGCTATCTAAAACTGGCACTCATCAATAATAAGACCACCTATTCACCGAACTTTGCAATCATACACTTGTATCCTACCAACCTGAGTAATACGAAGACAAATTTGAGAATTTCCCAACTGTCTTTATTTTAAGGCTCAGACATCCTTGACTTTTTATTGTGTACGTCCTGTGCATTAAAAGGTAATACAAAACTAAGAAATTCTAACAAGATTACAACAATCCAAATGATATATATTTTTTTAATTATGGATTTCATAGCTTTTTTTTTTTTTTTGACAATTATAGTGTTTTTGAGATAGTTTTAGCACACCTCAAAATTACTTTTGTTGTTAATAATTTTAAAGACATATTTTTATGTTGACTTAGTACATTTTATAAAAAAAATTAAAATTTTTTAAAATTTACAAAATAACATTCACTTGCCTGTAAATCTAACTTTTAAGGTTAAGATGTAAAGTGATACCAACATGGAAACGAGGCCACAAGGCATTTACTCTGCCTCCACCGCAACTTATATCACTGTTGCCACACCAACTTTTGGTGGAGCGCTGAGGATATTGTATTATCGACATTATATTTTGTTACATAAGCATGATATTGTATCCTCTAGCTTTTAGTAGATTTAACTTAATCTTGAGACTATGAATTACATAAATATATAATGATAATGATGGTTTAATTTTTTATTTTTTTACTCATTTCACTCTCATGTTCACAACACAAATTTCACTTTCATGTTCGCAACGCAAATTTATGACTTTCTACTATACATTGGGCCATTGAGATGATCACCAACTACATATTAAAGAAAGTGAGGTATACCTGATTTGTTAATTACAATTTTTTTAAAAATCACTTTTATAGTTTTATAGAATTAATCTAATTATATATTATACCACAAAAATATCATAGTATTTATAATGTCCTGCAACATTATAAATTTATAATAAGATATCTCATTATATAATTAATTCTTTTTATTTAAAAGTTTATCTGTAATACTGTATACATCTATTCATTTAATGTTATATTATATTTATTTAATAACATATTATAATTATAATTTTATAATCTTAGGTGATA